TTGGGGGAAATTCCACACTGCTGTCTGTAATGTACTAATGTTTTTATTCCCACCAATAGTGCACAAAAATTCTTTTTGTGCCCATCCTTGCCTGCATTTATTATTTCCTTTTGTTTTGTTTTGTTTGATAACAGCTATTGTAGCTACCACATTTCTTGAAAATAAAGCTGGGTCTCCTATAAAATTTTGCTCCAAAAGGTACAGTAGGACTTATTTCCAAGACATAACTTATTTTTTTCATTTACGACAACATATATTTACATATGTAAAACAATCATTGATTCATGTGCAAAAAGACTACATTTTTTCATGTATAAAAATCTGTATTTACTCAAATAGTCATTTATCTTCTTCTGTAACATCGTCATGATTCTCCAAACCCTGAATTCTAGCCTGAATTTCTTTCAACTCCATTTATTATAAAACCATTTGCCCCAGTCTCTCCAGCAATAGAGCTCTCCTTAAATGAGCATTTCTTATCTATGTAGCCAGCTTATAGTGCATTGGCAATACAGCTGTCAGTGACTTTACCATAAATCCTTCATTCAAGTCATATTAATTGATGACTTATGAGACAGAAGTGGAAACAATCATGATAATTAATAATGATGGTCCACACAAAAGTTTCAGGCACCAAAATTGGGAAAACACTTCTGTATTTCACATGAGCACATTATGTACATCTGTTACAAAACAAAATGTATTGAATTATGAAGACTCACAAACCATGCCCACTTGGTTTCAAATGCATATATTATTTTTGCACTGTCTATATGCTGGTCATTCAGTGATAAGTCCCAACTTTATCTATTCACATAGGCATTTACTTCTCATCCAAAGGCACCTGCTTTGATATTTACAAATACTTAATCATAATTTATATTTATTTTAATTATTGGTATCAACAATATTATTTATATTTAATTCTATAACAATAGTATTTTATAATCCAGTACATCCCATGTGTGTTGCAATGAATAACAAAATGTGTCTGTCTAGCTAATGATCTTAACTGAGGGCCATCTGGGGTGCAGGGCTTATACTATGAACATCCTGAAAAGTCATGGGATGGCTTATTTTCTTGTTTGAGCTTCTTTTCTGATTAGGTCTTATTTTTAGAGAAATAGCATAGGGTGAGATTTTGCTCAATTTAAACAATGTTGGGATAGATTCCTTAATGACTTAATAGTGGTGGGGATTTAAGACATAACATTACCATCTTCCTGGTATAAAAACAAATTCTTGTTATTATTATAATAGAAAATGGAAGAAGGGATCTATGTGATAGCTTTTAATATTATTTTATGTAATCATCACAAAAATATGATAAGATAAATTATTAGGTATATTTTTAAAAATGAAAACACAGGTTCCAATAGGCAGAATAATTTGTCCAACATCACAGTGGTGGAAAATAAGGTAATTTTCTCCTTATCAAGTAGTGTATTATACTAAAGTTTTATGCATTATTTTCATTCTCAACAAATATATAAACATTTTATGTATGTTAGGCTCTTTCATATTTATGTGTATATACACATATTGTGATATATGATAAAGACATGATCTGAATACATGGCTTAAAAATTACATAGTGGTCAAGTGTACCATTTTTGAAGTCATGTAGACCTGAGTTTAGGTCTTAGCTGTTACTAAGTGTATGAATTGGGCAAGTTGTTCACTACACTAAGCTGTTATTCCCTCATTTAAAATTCATCTGGAAGCAGAAGAGGCCTAGAATGGCAAAGGCAGACTTGGGCAACAAAGGCAGGTCAGGAGGCATCACAATCCCTGACTTCAAATTATACTACAAAACTACTGTGATAAAATTAGCATGGTACTGGCAAAAATAGACTTGAGGATCAGTGGAAGAGATTAGAAGATACAGACACAACTACAAGCACACTCGGTCACCTTATCTTTGACAAAGGGGCAAAACATGTTCACTGGAAGAAAGACAACTTCTTTAATAAATGGTGCTGGGGAAAAAACTGGCTCTCTATGTGCTGAAGACTAAAACTGGACCCATGTCTATCATCATGTACTAAACTAAAGTCAAAATGGGTAAAAGGGCTAAATATTAAAACAGAAACACTAAATCTACTGGAAGAAAAAGTAGGTAGAAATCTTGAAGACATAGGTATAGGCAAAGACTTCATGAACAAAACTCAAACTACATGGGAAACACTTCAAAGAATCAACTACTGAGATCTCATCCTATTAAAAGGTTTTCTACCTCAAATTAAATCACCAATGAAGTGAAAAGACAACCCACAGAGTAGGAAAACATTTTAGCTAACTGTCCCTCAGACAAAGGACATATCTAGAACATACAAAAGAAATGAAAAAATCAGACCCCCCCAAATTCAAAGACCCAGTACAAAAATGGGCATCTGAGATGAATACAGAATTCTCAGCTGAAGGAATACAAATGCCAAATAAATACACGAAAAAATGTTCAACATTATTGGTCACTCAACAGATGCAAATTAAAACAAAGCTGAGATTTCATCTCACCCCAGTAAGAATGGCTACTATCAAGAAATCAACTATAACAAATGCTGAAAGGGTTGTGGGGGATAAGGACCCTTCTCTACTGTTGGTGGCAATGTAGACTGGTGCAACCACTGTGGAAATCAGTCTGGAGATTCCTCAGTAAACCAGGATTAGAGGTCCCATTTAATCCAGCTATTCCCCTTCTAGATATTTTCCCAGAAGAAGTAAAAACATCATACCACAGTGATATATGCACACTCATGTTTAAAGCACCACAATTTGTCATAGGTAAATCTTGGAAACAACCCAAATGCCCATCAACTAAGGAATGGATAAAAAAGATGTGATATTTTTACACAATGGAGTATGACTCAGCTGTAAAGAAGATTAAACTGGAGAGAGTAGTAGGGAAATGGCTGCAACTTGAGTCCATACTTATAAGTGAAATAAATTAGTCTCACATGTGTAAACATTGTATTGTCTCCCTAGGGTAAGAAGCTAAAAGAGTAAATAAGACCCAAAATGTACAACAGATATTATGAAATGGGAAGAAAATGCTCAAAAATAAAAAGAAACTTGAATGGAGGAAAGGAGGAAAGAAGAGAGGAAAGAAAAATTCCTTATATCTATTTATCTATCTATATATATATAAAATAGTTAAGATAGATATACTACTAATTACTATTAGCTCATTGAAAGAGTAAGTACATGCCTATATTGCTTGATCAGTTTTTCATGCCTGTGTCTTGTATTATGAGCAACTACTTTGAAGGTAACAATGCACAATATACTGAGCATTGTTACTGTCCTACAATCTTGTTTTGAAATTTTGTGCCTTTGTTTTTCTTGTTTGTTCTTCTTCTCTTTAAAACAGAAAGTAAGAAACATTAGTAAAGAAAAGATAATACTCTTCCTTATGAAAGTTTTGTGAATCAAACATGAACAAAACAATATGTATAAGGCTTTTTGTACAATATTTAGCAAGCAATAATTACTTAATAAATAATACTATTACCTATTATCACTGAACAATTCCCAGAATAACAAAGGCAGCATATATATATGTAATATATTAATATATAGTAATATAGGAACATATATAGTAATAATATACTATATTATATAATATATATTATTAAGGCTATGAAAGAAATTTTGTTGTACTAGAGATTAAACCACCCAAGGCCTTCATGTTGAGCTGTATCCCCAGTCTTTTTAAATTGTGAGACTAGAGTCCTGCTAAAATGACTAGGCTGGGCTCAATATTTTATTCCTCATGCTTCAGCCTCTCAGAGTACAAGGATTACAGGCATACATCACTACCCCCTGTTGTAAAGAGATGTTCCAAAAGCTGCTTCAGGATAGCAAAACCAAGAAGGTTAATTGGGCCCACTAGAGACCATGAATACCTCATAAAAAGTACATTAGAGACTTAAAGTGTAACTGGGCAAACAGAAAACCTTGTAGATACAGCAAACAACATGAGAAAGTTTCTCAAATTATAAAAACCATGACTGTGTTAGTGGAAACACGATTATATAGAGAAATGACCCAGAAATTTTCAATTCTCTGTATAGCAAAAGAGTAGTTGTTAAAAATTAGAAATTTAAAAGGATAATATTAGAAATTAATATCAAATTTTCTAATACAGTAGCTATTCTGAGTGATGGAAAGATACCTCCAGATTATGGCCTTAAAAGTGACTGAAATGAGTAGTAAATGAGAAACAAATGAACAAAAATAGAACAGTAGCAGCATACCAGTATCACAAATATAGACAAATCAAAGCAAGAACATTTAAAGTGATACAGGGTTTCAAGACAAAATAATATGAATTAACAGTGGTTGTTACATTACATATCACTATCCTCAACTATGGTGCTCAGATTACCAGATGTAAGAATGGCTATTATTCTATTTTTTGTTTGTTTGTTTCTCGCTTACTACTCTCTTTAAAATAAAAAAAGTGAATGAAGTGTAATGGAAATGAAGATGAATGTATATAGTCCATTCACATTCATTTTTAAAGTTCTGTTATTTCTACAAATTTGTATGAAAAAAATTTGACCTACAGAGTTAACCTGTATTATATTCTAATACACGAAAGGAAAGGAGAGCCATAAGGAGACTACAAAAGTTTAAGTAACCAGTGTTATTTATTGAACATTTCATAATTTATTGAGTATGTTTATGTTCTTTGAATCATTTGGACCTGACAATGACTTTGTGACTAAGACGGGAATTATTTCATTATATAGATGAAGAAACTGGAGCCCTGAGATGTGGTAGTCAGTAGTTAAAGCAAGGCTTGTGCCCACAAACTTTGCATCAAAATTCCTTTGTACTACCCTGTAGAGGACAGTTTTGCTCCTAGTATGTATGGGCAGTTAAAGATTGTTGTCATATGAATAAATAACTACCATTATAATTTATTTTAATGAAAAATGCACAAAATTAATAGAATCATAGAATATATAAAATTGATATCAGATCCTTTATTCTAGGAATGGAAAGGTCAGACTCACCTACAGTCACACAGCAAGACACTGGAGAAACCAAGCCTATAATCCAGGACTGCAGTATGCCTCTCCTATGTGACTAGGAACGCCTTAGGCAAAACCTTCCTTAGGCACAGTAAGTTTGATCCCTAACATATATTTGGTATCATGTACTGTATCAAGTATTTTCTGTAAATATGAGTATTCTGTCCTCTGAGGTAGGTAGATAATATTATCTACCCGACTTTACAGAGAAAACAGATGCTCATAAGTATTAGTGAACTTATTCAAGAATACAACTTAGTAGGTAAGTTATTAAGGTTTGAACCTAGGCTTCCAACTCCAAATTCAGAAACCAGTGAAGTAATGCAAACACTAAACAGAAGAAATTTAAGAAAAGAATGTGGCAAACTAGAGAGTACATATCCCACTCAAAAACATTAAAACTCATTTGCTTAAATCAGTAGACTGGCCAAAAAGAATTAATCAGTGCATCATATCCAGTCTGCTGGCAATGAGTTAACAACCCCTGATATTACCTCTCAGCTCTGCAGGAATTTTAGTGAAAATTCAATGCCTGAGTTGTGGTAGCCATTACTGCTGTTAGAAGGTCCCTCTCCGGGATAGGAAAGCCTTGCAAACATTATGTAATGAATGAAAATACATGCCTAAACTATTTCTAATATTGTCAGTTTCCCATGTAATAATAGCCATATTTCTAAAACAGCATTTCTTACTTCTCTAAAATCTTAATTTATGTAAATCATGTTATGTAATAGGGATTACATGAATACATTTTGTAGAGATTGATATTATTGATGTTTTTTGGTTCAAGCTTAACAGAAAAGAGTAAAAAATGATAATCACCTTCTACTTCTGATTATCATGATGTAACTGGATCTAAATTTTTCTTGCTGCAAGAAAGAAATGATTAGTAACTGTTCATGCCTGTTTGGCAACCAGGATCATGAACCCTGAGAGAAGCAAAATGAGTCATGAGAGCCCAATGTTTATCTCAAATTTCCAAATGGAAGCTCCTTCCTGACTTGCTACAGTGAGTGGAAACCCAACTAATGCTTAGTAATATCTCTGAGATAATGCAATATTTTCTCAGAGTTTTGAGAGGCTGCGATAGTTGGAATTTGTGGGTCAGAGTATTAGAATGAAGATAACTATAGGGATAAAGAGGTACCGAAAATTGTTTTATGATCCTCTTGAGTTTTTGGATAAATATAAAGAAGTATCTGTGTAGAGTAAAATTCTGCAATGCCAGGTAAAGGGTAATACTGAGAACTGCAAACTACTTCCTTGTGCTCATAAAAAACCGCAAGTAATTGAAATTTTAGCCAAAGTAGAGATTTCCTTTTACACACTCAGAGACTCAGTAGAATAGAAGCTGCTAACGTGTGAAGTCTCACAAAATGAAAACAGTTAAGAGAAAGAGATGTATATCTACTAAAGGAATAGAGATCCCAAATAAATAACCTAGTCCTAGAAAAATGAAAGCAATCCAAATATGAAACTTGTAGAAGTGAAGAAATTATAAAGATCAGAGTGATAATTTATGAAATTGAGACTAAAAAAATATAAAAATCGATAAATCAAAGTCAATTCTTTGAAAGGAAAAACAATATTGATAAAAGCTTAGCCAGACTTACCCGAAGAAAGAAAACAAATGCATATCAAAGCATTTGGAAATGAAAAGAGGTGAGACCACATTGGACACCACAGAGCTCCATGGGAGTATAAGAAAATACTTTGGAAACTTATATTCTTATAAATTGGAGAACTTGGAAAATATGGATAAATTGATAGACATGAATTACCAACATTGAACCAAGAAGATATAAAACCATCAAATAGACCAATGACAGACAATCAAATAGAAATTCTACAAACTAAGAGAAGCCCAGGACCTGATGAATTCACTGCAGAATTTTACCAGAACTTCTACAAACTAAGAGAAGCCCAGGACCTGATGGATTCACTGCAGAATTTTACCAGAACTTCTACAAACTAAGAGAAGCCCAGGACCTGATGGATTCACTGCAGAATTTTACCAGAACTTTAAGGAGAATCTAAAATCAATACTGACCAAATTTTCCCATAATATTGAGAATGACAGAGCACTGCCAAAGCATCCATGGAAGATAGCATTATCCAGATATCGAAATGGATGAGGAACCAACAAAGAAAGAGAGATAAAGCTACATGCCAATATTCATAAGGAACATAAATGTTAAAAATCTTCAACAGATACAAAAGAATGCAAAAATTCATTCAAAAGATCAGCCATCATGACCAAGTTGGTTTTATTCCACAGATATAAGTATGATTCAACATGTAGAAATGAATAAATGTAATACATCACATAAATAGACACAAACACAAAAATCACATGATCATCTCAATAGATACTGAGAAAGCCTTTGAAAAAACCCAACATCCACTCATAAACCCTTATGAAAATAGGTGGAGAAGGACCCTACCTCAAACTGATAAAGTCATTTATGATAAACCTACTACATATGTCATACTAAGTGGGGAAAAACTGGTAGTATTTCCAGTAAAATTGAAAATAAGATAAAGGTGTACACTCTCACTACTCCTGTTCAGTATGGTATTCAAAACTTTAACCACAGCAATCAGAAATATAAAGAAATATAAATGATACATATACGAAAGGAAGACATAAAACTATCCTTATTTGTAAGTAGCGTGACCCTTCACAGAAATGACATAAAAACTCCATCAAAAGACTCTTATAACTAATAAATTCTGAAAATTAGTTGGATACAAAATCAATATACGATGATCAGTAGCATTTCTCTACACTATAAATGAATTCATCAAAAAAAAATCAGGAAAACAGTCTCATTCACAGTATCTTCAATAAATTAAATAACTAAAAAATATTCTAACAGAGGAAGTTAAAGGCTTTTGTCATGAAAATTATAGTACTCTTTAAAAAAGATTGAAGAGGACATCAGTAAATTGAAAGACATCCACTGTTCCTGGATAGGCAGAACCAGTATTGTCAAAATGGCCATATTAGCAAAAATTTTATATATATATATATATATATATATATATAATTATATGTATATAGCAATTTAGTGGAAATTCCATCAGCATTCTTCACAAAACCAGGAAAAAAACCTAAAATTTGTAGGGAACCAGAAGAGACCCAGAGTTGTCAAAGCAATCCTGAGCAGTAAGAGCAAATTAGGAGGCATCACAGGCTCAGATGCCAAGACAAACCAATATTACAGACTGCATGATGTTTTCAAGCATGGCAATGGTGCAAAAATGGACATATTGAACAATAGAATAGAATGGAGCATGTAGAAATAATCAAGGGAACTTCAGCCATGTGATCTTTGACAAAGTAGTCAAAAACAGGCAATACATAAAGATAGCATCTTTAACAAATGGTCTTGGGAAAACAGGTTATCCACATGCATAAGAATGAGGCTCAAACCGTAGTTCTCAACCCGTAGTAAAATCAAAACAAAATGAATAAAAAACCTCAATATAGAAACAGAAACACTGAATCTGGTGGGAGATAAATTATCTCTTGATAAACTCTTCAAAACATAGGCATGAGAAACCCCAACTGCATGAGAAATAACATCAAGAATCAACAAATGGTGCTGGGCATGGTGGCAGATGCCTGCACTCACAGCACTCGGGAGGCTAAGGCAGAAAGCTAAGGCTGCAAGTTTGAGGCCAGTCTGGGCTGCAAAGTGAGTTCAAAGCCATCTTGAACTGCATCATTAGACGCTGTTTCAAAAAGACAAAAAAAATCAATAAATGGGAGTAAGTCAAATTAAAAATCACCTGCGCAGTAAAGGAAACAAAAAACAGAATGAACAGACAACCTGTAAACTAGGAAAACCCTTTTTTGTGAACTACTCAAACAGAAGATGAATGCCTAGAATATATAAAGAACTGAAAAAATTAGAACCCCAAAATAAAATGCCCAATCAAAAATTGGGCATTTGAAATCAATAAACACTTCTGAAAAGAAGAAGTACAAATGTTCAACATGTACATGAAAATGTGTTCGGCCTCTTGGTCCTTAGAGAAATGAAAATGAAAACATCACTGAGATTTTATTTTGTCCCAGAAAGAATGGCTATCATCAAGAAATCAAATGAATGCTGGTGAGGTTATAAGGAAACAAAACACTTCTATATTTTCATGGGGATTTAAACTAGTATAATCACTGTGAAAACCATTATGGAAATTCCTCAGAAAGCTAAAACTAGAAATTCCATTTGACTCGGCTATTCCCCTTTCCAGATATCTTCCTGAAAGAGTTAAAGACATCATATTACAGTGATACATATCTAGGCATGTTTATAGCAGCACAATTCATAATACCTAAATCTTAAAAGTAACTTATAGGTCCATCAACAGATGAATAGATCAAAAAGTGTGTTATCTGTACACAGCAGAATACCACTCTGCTATAGAAAAAGATAAACTGGAGTCATTTGAAGGAAAATGGAGGCACATTCACACCATAAAGTTCAAGCGAAGTAAATCAGAAATAAAAGCTTAAATATCACGTGGTTTCTCTGATATGAGAAACCCAATGTCAATAAAGAGCAAAATAAAAGACAGATAATTGGAAGTATTGAGACAGATCATTTTCAGATAAGAATTGGATCAAGAGATAGAGAGAGGGGAGGGAGGGAAGAGGAAGGAGATGAAAAATAGAATTGAGACATATTACAGACATGTACCAATGCCCCACAAGGTAGGTAATGCAAACATGTATTAAAAAAAGAAGTAAAAAAAAAAAACTGGAAGGAACTGTTGTCCTAAAAATGACAAATTAGGAAACGCCAATGCATTGTCCCACCATAAAAGCAGCTATTGAGTTGAACAAAATTGTTGGAATCAACTTTTGTAGAGTTCAGGAATGTAGGCAAAATCTTTAGTAATTTGAAAGAAGTTTCTTTAAAAAATATGTTGTTAATTTATAGTAACGTAGTGTTGGGGCATATTAAACCACTGCCCCCCATATCCCATATCTCGGATCATTGGGGTTCATGGTAAAAGCCTGGTAAAACTTGTTCGTAACAAAGGGAACAATATAGACCTAATTCTCAAATAAATTTGACTGTG